TGGACCAGGTCAGCCTCACCCTCGAACAACAAGCCAGCGTATCTTGTGCTTATGCTCCAAGTTCTCTCAAGTCACTAACTGGCAGCTTTTGTTAAGGGGGGGAAAAGTGTAAAAGGTAACATTTAATTAAATTCATATGCCCGCTTTGATTTCATGAGTGTTGTTAATATGGTGCTTTTGTAAAAAATCTACACGGTCTGGCTTTGAAATCTATGACCTTCAAAACCAAGCAGAGAGAGGAGAAATGGATTTCAAGCATCTGATTTGATTAAACATACCTTAGGTTATGATTGTGAAGAAAGCCTTATATTATAAAAGTTTCAACTAATTAAACCACACTGTGCTTGAATTCACTTCGTAAATGCTCCTTTTGTAATGCTTAGGAACAGATCTGTTAACTGTTTAACAAATTCTGCCTCCGCTGAGTGTGCTGATCCCATCTGCGCTGCACAGGTGACTCAACAGAAAATGTGAAATAATTCTGCACCGTTCTATTGTGGATGCAATGCCACGCACTCACTGAGAAAATACAATAAAATCTAAATATGAAATCACTCTGGCTGAACTGCAAAGCGACTGTTAATAGAAGAATACCGTTCCGACAGACTGCTCCGAGCATTATTGTCTAAAGTTGGGTAAGGGGTAATTAATTTGGCATTAAATCATTCAGTGTTTTGGTGAGTCTGATGAGAACTGTAAAATACCTTCTTTTCTTTTTTTTCTCAGACACTGCCTCAGCCAACCCCCAGCCCCCATTGTCTGTGTGAAAATGGAAATCTGTGCCACCAGTACAATATCCACATTATGTGCCCTGCCTCGACATTGTTGCATGACATGCTTGATTGTACCCTGGCATATAAGAACAGAAATGTATAAACATACCATTAGCACATATTAAATTTATCTCCCACTCACATTATTGTGTAAAAGGTAAGTTTTTAAGTTCATTTTTTAATTTTTTGTATTTTCTGAATAAAATTCACCACTTTAGACATTTTGTACAACGCTTTTGATTGGATTTAAATGCAGAAGAAATGCATTTATTTCCTATTTGTTATGTCTTTGGACATGCTTAAGCGGTCAATTTTTAACTTTTACAATTAAATTTCAAAAAAAGAAAACTACGCAATTATGTTGAATTATCATTCCGCCACACGCATGCACAAAACAATCAAAAGGATACAGTTTTGCCACACCACTTTAACTTAATCAACCTGCTCTTCCATGTCTTTAGGTTAAAACTAAAAGTCTAAAACAATCTTTGTAATTATTTACAGTGTTAGCCATCTGTAAGCATTAATATGACTTGTTTTAAATGCTCCACATGTTTTATAGAAGTAAATGTTTTCTTCTGAACCTTAAATAGGCCTGCAGCAATAGCAGGAAAATAACCGCACTAACCCTCAGCTGTACATTCACATTACTGGTATATTCTATTCCATTTTCGTTCACTCAAGTCAAAATTTAACAATTCTGCTCACAGCACAGGCTGAGGTCAACCCAGTACAAGCAGTCCAAACATGTCTCCCACTCACACTGAATGCACTGTAGCCACTGTATGCACAGAGAAAGTCTTCACTCATAAAACCAAATCAAAGAAACCTAAATTTGTACATCAGCATGGGTTAATGCTTTCAGATAGGACAAAATTATAGGTGACTTTTAACAACTTCCAACCCCAACATCATCCACACAACTGTTATTAATCCAAATTTGCACTCTGAAATTGAACTTTTCTGTCTGTTTTTTTTTTGTTTTTTACAGAATTCATTTTTGCATTTAAAAACGTAACATTGGGAGCATCTCGCCATCCCAGGAGGTTGTGGAAAATACACAAAGATATTCTAAAATTCTTTTCTTGCTTTCATTTGTTTTTATTTTATTTTTCTCCAACTGAAAGGTCTCATGAGAATGCTATCTTTTCAAAAATTAGAAGAGGTCCTCTTGTCACTAATAACTCAATGCTGCCACCCAGTGTCAGCACATCTGTTGATTTAAAACAGCGGGTCTCAGACTTTCTCTGGCATTTCCCCCTTTTTGGAAGCTAAAAAAAATATCAACAGTAAAAAAAGGAATCCTTTCTGGGTTTGCAGAAAAATCATAGTCATTTAACTTAATTCCCAAATTTTTCCACCTGGCCTTTCAAAGGCAAAAGTTAATTTTGTCTTTATCATGGTCTGTGAGGTTGATTTAACTACTGAACTTTGACTAGAAGAAGCTATAAACAGGACCTCCAGATGGCTTTTGAGACTATTATTTTCTGTTTGGACATGTGCAAATGCAGTTAAAACCTTGTTTCGTGCATTAAGGTATAAGCAATGGCTGTTCTAAGTATGAGCATGCGCAATATAATATTACAATATGTTCTTCAAATGTGTGTATTACTACTTGCAGGCTGTTCTCGGTGTTGGGAAAACACAAAGAGGGGAAAAACACCATGCTGTCCTTTAATACAGATACTACATGCTCTCCTCTGATACCTCAGCCCCACCTGTCTAGCCATGAGCTCAGAGTTGAAACAGAGTTCAGCCAAGTCGAGAATTGTTCTTGCTTGTTTTATCAGTGGTGTGTACCATATTTCCCGATGAAATACTACAGCCAGCAAGAGATACTGCCAAGGGAGCAAGGAGACAATTGAATGAGCATTAATGATTTACAGGTACATATCTGCTATAATACCAACACAGGCGGAGGTAACTGAGAGCAGGCTCTAATGACATCATTGATGTTGCCTCAGATAACACCTTGATCATCAACTATGTATGGATCTGGCAAAAGATATAAGATAATGTCAAAGTGAGAGTAGACTGTTTACCACCCTACCATAGGCTGGTAAATAGACCAATATTCAGACACTGAGTCAGGAATTTAAAAAAAGAAATCTACACATGTATCAATAAGACAAATGAACTGTAAATCTTGGGTTCGCAGTGGAAGATAAAATGTATTTTCTAAGAGAAAAATATTTGATGACAGCTGGAAACTACTTTGGGGGAAATAATTATTTGATCTCATGCTGAATTTGTAAGTTTTCTTGCTCGCAAGAAAATGAACGGTCTCTAATTTTTATGGTTGCATTTTAATGGAGATGGACAGAATATCAGCCAAAAATCATGAAGAAAACATGTTACACAAACGTTATAAATTGATTTGCATGTCACTGAGTGAAATATACATTTGATCCCCAAGCAAAACATGACTGGAAATCATAATGATATGACATTTCTTCTAGTTGGTCACCAGGTTTACATTCATGTCAGGAGGGATTTGGGGCCACTCCTGTTTACAGAAACTCTCTAAATCCTTTAGTCTTCTTTTACTGCATCTTGGCAGACCCTCTTGGACTGAAGGCTGTTAATCCATGACCCTATTGTGCTTCCTTTTTACCCACATCTTTGTTGCCTTGAAAATATTTTTGGGGCCACTGTCATGCTGGAAGATCCATCCACAGCTTAGAGAAGGAGGCTCTCCGCTATGATTTTATGGTACGTGGCTCTGTCTATAGGCCCCTCTGTGCAGTGAAGTAGCATGTACGCTTAGTAGAAGAAACAGTCCAAATCATAATGTTTCCACCTCTGTGCTTGACTGTGGGGATGATGTTCTTTGGGTCATACTTAGCACTTCTCTTTCTCCAAACAGGGTGGGTAGAGTTGATGCCAAAGAGCTCATTTTTGTTTTCTACAGTCATTGTGTGTTACCAATGGTGTTCTCACTGACTGTGGTCCTGACTGTCTGCAGATCATTTACCGACTCATACATATAGTTTTGGACTGATCCACCAACTTTCTCATGATCATCCTCACCTCATAAACCAAAGATCTTGTATGGAGCTTCAGACTGAGGGTCACCAACAGTTGTCACTAGTTCTTGCTGATGGTCTTGTAACTCATTCCAGCTTCTTTTGACAGCTTTTTGGTTTTGCCCATGGTGGCATAGAGGTTGGTGTCTAAGAAGTATCTGTGACTGATTGATTGATTGATTGATTGATTGATTGATTGATTGATTGATTGATTGATTGATTGATTGATTGATTGATTCATTCATTCATTCATTCATTCATTCATTCATTCATTCATTGACTGATTGAATACTTATTTTACCCACTAAGGAAAAAAATGTGACATTTTAAAAAAGGTAACAATGACCTTGAACTGGTAGGTATTAGCACTAATAGCTCTGAGAAAGTCTTACACTGATGTTTTTGCATTTCCGCCATTAGTTATCTACTTACTATCTACCGTCCATCATAAAATGGGTACACTGGATAACCAGGATAACCCACCGTGTCACAAAGCTGAAATCATCTCAAACTGGATTTTGCTGTGTTTTATTCGTCAAACTACATTCTTGAACATAGCAATGAGTTCAGTATACTCAAATGGCCTCCAGTGACCAGATTTCAGTGTAACGTAGCAACTTAGGGATGTAGTGGAATAAAAGATTCCCATTATGAATATATAGCTGACGAATCTGCAAGAATGATGTGATGATATTATTTTAATATAGACCAAAATTTCTTAGGAATATTTTCAGCATCTTGTTGCTGCAGTGAGTGTAGTTCTTTGTTATTTGTAGCAATATTTTGTCACAGTAACTGTGTGTTTTAAGAGGGAGCAGGATAGTCCCTTGAATATATATGAATATTTAAAAAACATATGTTAAATTAAATATTATTCTACCATGGTCTCTTGGTTGTTTTTTTTTTTGTGTGTGTGTTTAAGCTTGACAGTGCAGATTCAAAAGAAACAGTCTGAATTGCATTAGATTTCCTTTTTATTTCAATTAAATATAACCAACATTATTAAGGATTAAACATTTTTAGAGGAAGTGACGTGCTAATGTTTTGAATCGTGCCGTGCAAGTTTGCGGTTGTCACGAATAGAAATCCCTGTACTGACCTGTCTTCCCCGTATATATCTGGGGAAAACCTTTTAGCTTCATGTCTCCATAATTTCTCTCACAGTAAGTTTTCTTCAATACAAACCCGCTCTTATGTAACAGCATTCGTTTAGGCATTCAGCGTTGAGTGTTAGCTTGCTTGTAGTTGTTGTCAGCTAACGAGAAGCCACTTTGCTAGCGCTAGTTCTCCAAGAGCCTGCAGCTATTTCTCTAACGAGATGCCCAGATGAAGGTTAGCCTTGTGGATCAACAGACACTTGTGATGTTGAGAAAATACGAGTGATATGTGTGTGAATAACAACACACAATATCGTATAGCTTATGATAGCTAAGCCGTGATGCTAGTAATTAACCATTAGCGGGTAAGTAACAGCTGCAGTGCTAATGCTGTGCTGCAAAGCACGAGAGAGGTCATTGTATAGTTGTGTGTGTGTTGTGCTAAAGCGTTGTTAGCTGCATAGATAGGCTGTTGCTTAACTATCTGAATTAATCTGCCTAATTGCAATGGTAAGTCTTTCCTCAAAGTTTGTAATATTATGGTTGCATCACAGCTAACCACATTTGAGATCTGTCCCGCATAAAAGTCATCGCTGCCTGCTAGAGATGCTGGATCTCAAGCTTTTGTAAGAACTGGTTTTGTAACGTGTTTATTTCAGCATGAGCTGACTGTGTACCAAATCTGGTAAATGGTGACAGCTGTTAGGTTATTTAAGGGTCTGCATTTGCCACTGCTCAGTACATAACTGACGTGATCATCCAGCACTTTGACTTTTGTGCGTATTCTACCTCACAGCAGGAGAAAGTAATGGACCTCCACAAAATTATCCACAGTGCACTGCAGGAATTTATTCAGACTTACATTACTGATGCAGATCTCAGGTAAGCAGCCCCCAGCCTCATTTAAGCCTGAAAAATCATTTTCTATGGCTTTTGGAAGTAACTTCCTTTCTTACCGTGCCATGCAGCACACTGGATGATGTCCTGTTGTCTTACATCACTGGGGTCCTGGAGGATCTTGGTTCCCAGCAGAGTGTTGAGGAGAACTTTGATGTGGAGGACTTTGCAGAGATGCTAGAAGCTTACATACCTGGCTTTGCAGAAATTGACAGGTAAACAGACTTTCTCCTTTCTCTGGATGGGTTAAGAAAACCACATAACAACTGTACTATGTGTTTTAATGTTTTTTCTATTTTTATTTTATTTTTTTAATAACAGTTTTTTTTTTCTTTTTATTCTGCAGTGTCAAAGTCTGTGAAATGATGTTCAGTCTGGCTTCAAAACTAGCTACTGCTCGGACCTCAGGTGGCAAACATGTTCATTTTCTCAGCGTTTCTAAAAGTGTGATTCTGATACCTCTACTATTCTCCTAAATGTTAATTTATTTGTTCCTTTTTATTTAGCTCGTGAAGAAAATGGTATCCCCAAGGCAAGGACAGAAGAGATCTCATTGAAGCTCACCAGCCTGCCCAGTGAGCCACCAAGAAGAGAAACGCAGTGCCTTAAATCACAGACAGAGGGAGCCACTGCCAAGGTTATCGATTCACCTGACATCAGCACATTGTTTTTTTTACATATTTGCATTTGTCTTTTTGTCCTACTGTAGATATTGTTACATCCATTAACAAATATTCACGTGTCTGTGTTAGCCACCAGTGTCTGAGTGGGAGGCCCAGGAGCAGCACTTACTAGAGATGTTTCCCAAGTGTAGTCTGACTGAGGCTCGGAGCGCCCTGTCTATTGCCAAAGGAGACATGGAGGAAGCTGTTCGTCTTATCATAGAAGGGGATGTTCAACTCAGTCCCACACCTCTTAACGTGAGTCTCTGATACACACAGAAACGTTGGTTTTGTGTTCCTCCTACCTTCCTTAGCAGTCTTTGATGGGATCCTCTTGTCTCAGGTAAACCATGGGAAGAGTATTTCCTCACTGGCAGACCAGAAACTTAAAGAGAGCATCCTTGAGAAGTGAGTAAGAGTGCTAGTGTGACTCAGCAGAACTTTCCTCATTTGTTTGTTTCTTGAGTTTATGACTGTGCTTAATCATACTAGGTACATGCTGGTGGACAGGGAGGAAGATAAGAAAACACACCGTCCCGTCGTTCCCAAAGATGTAAGCTTCCCCTTATACTTCTATTTTCTTCACATCAAATCTGTTTCATGCCTCTAAATCCAGGTGCACTCTGTTGTGACAGGCTCCAAAGAAGCTAGTTCGGTACCATGGTAACCAGGTGGTAACCACAAAAGGAGAACGGTATCAGCTCGTGAAGAAGGACGAGACCGAGGACATGAAGAAGACATATGTCAACCTCAAGCCAGCGCGAAAGTACAGATTCCATTGATGACGAGCACAGTTCTGAAAGAGCAGCTAATGACAGTATTGTTTACACTATTTTTAATTTATTAATTTCATTTAGCCTACATTTTGTTTGTTTTTTCCCAATTAAAAGCTGACATCTGCAGTGTTGGCAGAAGCTTCTTTTGGAAAAGGAAAAAAAAACGTTACCTTTTCATGCCTTGGTTAAAACGTTGGATTACAGTGTTTCAGTTTTTTATTGAAAGATCTTTCTTTTCTTTTCTTTTTTTTTTTATCAGATATTTCAGTCAGGATGCTGTGACTTGCGTTCTTGTGTGTGTTTGTAACAGCCTAACCTATCTACGTTTGGCCATCTCAGCAGGTCTGATGTTGCTCTGACAGTATTGAGGTTGTGTTTGTTTAAAAAAAATGTATTTTATTTTTTTTATGCATTTTTCTTTTTAAGCCGTACTGACATTGTGAATGAACCTATATTGATTTCTGTAACTAAGTTTTAGTGGTGCTGTAAAGTTTCTTCTGGACATTAGAATTATCAGCTGTTTTATGTACATATTGATTCAAAGAGGCCAATTTCATTTAGTTTAAAGTTAGGTCCAGAGTTTGTTGGACAAGGACACTGTTGTTGGAGTTTTGCCTCTGCACTCCACCACGGTGGATTTTAAATAAGATAATGGTGATGATTTAAAACATTAGTCTTAGATGTTTATTGGTAAAGTCAAGTCCTTCCTTGTTCTTGTGTAATCAGTGGTTTACAACTTGTTTTAAACTTGCTGTATTTAAATTGATGAATTAATTGCAGTTTGTGAAAATGGAGGATATGCTGATGAAATTGCTTTTCTTACCCATGTAAATAATTGCCATTGTGACCTTCAGTTTTGTTTTTGTTTTTCTATGGTCTTTCAGTTGTCTTTGTCCAACAAATTATGCACCTAACTGTGTATTGTAGCCAGTAGGAGTGCTGCAGATATGTTTGTTCAGGCCTTGAATTTTAAATCAGTTTGTTCAGTCCATAAGAGGAAGTCCTGATTGTTTACTTTAACCACTTTCTCACACACGTATTAGGGCAAAAGGATGTTTTAATATGCAAAGTTTTACGGCATTTTGGTTGTTTTGCCACAGAACACTATCGTCCCCTGCATCTCCCTACATTGTTGAATCGCCTCAGGTCTTACTCTCTTTCTCCTGTCTGGCAGCTCCATCTTCATCACCTCCTCTGCACATGTTCAAACCAGCTCAGCTTTGCCTCTTTGTTTCCAGACAGCTAAACCTGAGCTGTCCCTCTGATGTACTCATTTCTAATTCTGTCCATCTTGGTTACTCCCAGTAAAAATCTTGGCGTCTTTAACTCTGCAACCTAGCTGTTTAAGTACTGAATTTAAAACCAGAGGGGAAGAAAATGCATTACAATAACTTGATCTGAAGTCTGACAGAAGTGAGATTTGACAACCTACGGATTCACAGCTCATCCCTAATAAAGGAGGACGTACACTTCACAGGCCTTACCCAGCTGAAAACATGTCCGTATGCTATATAAATTCATTTTTCAAGACATGTTCAAACAACTGCAGCACTCTACTTTCTAACATTACGAAGTTGTGTGTGTGCTTTCTTTCACACCCCTAATGCAGAGTAAAAAATGCTGCTGGATGACTTCATTTTAAAGTTCATTCCAACAGGATTACCTTTATTTTTGATAGAGATGTTTAGATTTTCAAATTCTCCAATCATGTATTTGTGATAATAGAAGATCATGTGCTTTCAGGGTCCGTTTACATATTACCGAAGTGGTTCTCTTGTCACAGCGCCTCTCATCCCGTTTGTGTTCTGTGAGGTTTGCTTCGCATGTGACTGTGGATGTTTTTTTTCTCTGATTGGATTCTGATTTCTTGTTAGTTGTAGATTAGGATAAATGGGGTTTTCTTTTAGATATACGCTTTGCGTTTCTTTCTGCGTCCATTTGGACCAGCTGTAAGCATTTGTTCTAAATGGATGGTATATAGTTTTCCCCTCGGTGTAGTGTAACAGCTGGGTGTTGGAAAGATGTCTTGTTTCTGGTGCTTATCGGCAGCAATGTTATCTTTAAATACTGTATGATGGTGTTACTGTAGAGCATGGAATGGATCCCCTGAAGCTGTTATAGTGACAACCGAAACAGCTTTCCTCGCTCTGAGAAACTGCTGACGCACAATTTATAGTAAATACTAATTTTGTAGACTACCATATGAGTTGTGTCTATTTATTCATGTACATACATAAGGTGCTAAATTTGAATATTTAAGTTTATTATTTAATTTCACAGCTTTCAGTAATCAGTCAACTCTGAAGAAGAAGAACAAACAAACTTTAATCAGAAGAACAAGGAGATGACATTTAAAAAAAAAGAAAACACACAGGCATCCATCAATAAAAAAGGGAAAAACAAAAAAAAAAAAAAACATCTCTGCAAATAAAATCATTCTCATCTTTAAAGCAGCTTAATGCCAGAGTGACAACAAGCATTTTTACTATAAAATTGGAAAATTAAAAAAAAAATAATCTTGTGACATTTAATACCCTGCCCATTTAAGACAAGGCACGCACAGTAATTAATTACCCTAGCAAAACAGTCTTATTTTTACAGAGTAATTAGTACTCAACGTTTGATCACTGCACAATTTGTGAGAAGAACAAATGATGATTACTATCAGGAGTTTAAAGGCTGAACCTTGAGCAGAAAGAAATGAAAAAATATTGACAATATATGTATATTTCCATTTCAAGGGTTCATCTCACTGATTTATTCAGTTACATTATGAAGATACCATCTACTGGTTGGTTTGGCACATACTGCACAGGACACCAGTCAGCCACAACATTAAAACCACTGATATTTAAGTTAATCAAACTGTTCTGCGAAACCATGCTCCTACTGTAGCATTCGTGTGGATGCTACTTTGACGTGCGCAAGCCACCGTACCCCACTGTGCTCGCTTTTAATACCGTGGCCACACAGCGTGTACCAAATGGTGTCCCTTTTATTTAATGTACATATTAATAACAACTCGAGAGAGCAGCTTAAACTTCTATGACAGCCATCTTTCAAGTCGCTCTCGCGTCAAGATCTTACAAACCTGTTTGTGTGAAAGTAAAAATACATTTTTCTCATCTACAGATGCAAATACAGCATTTTCACCAGGAATTAAATGTTTGTATACATTACAGAATCATTTAATTTCAAAATAGATGCATGTAATATAACATTCTGATTAAGTGTACTGTAGCGTCATAGTCCACATCAAGCTTGAAAAGCAAATGCAAACCTAACCACTAGGTGGTGCTTCTTTGTTGCACTGCAATGGTTGATACTGAGCTACATTCCACACATTTTCCTGCTAGTTCACTAAACTAATAGCATTTTAACATGTTTCTGTGAGTTGTTTTAAACCGGTTTTACACCCTTTAACCCAAGACAACATGATGTGTAATTGTTCTAAGAGGTTTCCACAAATTTCATATTTTCTTTCTTAAAAGTTGCAACTAAATCTGCACTGATCAGCTCATTTCAAGTACCCACTTCTCCTGATACTGGTGTGCAGAGTAGCCCATCCCAAAGAAAGGCCTTGAAGTAAAAACTCAAAGAGCAGTTTATAACACACACAAAGGAAAAAAAATCACTGCTAAAAAGAATGTGACATATTCCTTCAGCTGAATATATGACCCCCCCACAAAAACAAAACAAAAAAACACTTTTTGAATATTACTGTACTGCATTAACATCTGTGCCTATGTCTTTTTTTTCTTTTCTTTTTTTAAACGAGAAGTCTTGCTGATCGTATCTGAAGCAAGTCTTAGGTAGGCATAGAGGAAACGCAGATAAATATTCCCAAAAACCTCAGCTGTAAAGCTGTCTTTGCATTGCAATAAAGATTATGATTATTACAACATAATGAAATGAAATTTACTAGTCAAGCCAAAACTGTATTACTCCATGTATATGACAAATATCCTGATGTGCACTGTACATATAATACCCCTCTGACTCTTTCATTAGTGGTTAAAATAACAATGCTTCTCTACCAATCTCAGACAATCAACAGCTTGAATTGTAAAACTGAGACAGCACTGACAGATCGGTACGAATAGACAAAAGAAAACGAGAACATGAATGTTTGATCGATGTTTCTTCTGTTGCTTTTGTATTTTTTCCAATGACAATGGCACTCGAAGACTGAAGCACAACGTTTTCATGATGGCCGCTTATTGCCATGCAGTGATGCGTAGCTCCAAAGACAGTGCACACACAGCAGTGTCAGCATCACATGCACACAGTTTCCGAAGCAGTCTAGTCAGCAGTTTTTAAGGGTGGGGGTCTAACTAAGATCCTGCTCGTATCGCCCTTTGATCATTGTTTTCAGCAAAGGTCCGACCTACAGTAAAAGAAAAAGGTTTTTTTTGTTTAGGATAAGCTACATCACGTACTCTTACTACACGGTTATGCTCACTGCATTGTCCTGAACTGCATATATATCTTTCCTCTGTACTAAATCAGGTAAGCCATAAATATTCACAGTAACTGGGTTGCTGGAAGGGTCAGCATGCCCCAGTGATTTCATGTAACAGGTGACCTAAATGTGGATCTTATTTGATGTTCTAGAATCAGGCAATGTGACATTCATGTGCAACTTTGTGCAGTCATGTACACTGCCAGTACTTTAGAAACCGCTCTTTTCTTTTTTTTACCTCATGTGGATCTCCGAGTGCTTCTCCCAGCATCTTTTCAATATTCCTCATGATGGCTACTTTCTGATGAGCCCGCAGAGGGTATTCTATCCTCTTAGGTGTGGGGGCACCCTGGAAGTACATGTAATAGCTGAGCAATCATGAACAGACATGTGGTGGCAATATACCACATGTTTTAAAGTAACTGTACATACTTTGTACCAGAAGTTTACAGTGATTGTCACTCCACCATTCAGCAGCGATTCAATGTGATGCCACCTGAAGACAGAAGAAAAATACAATCAACTAAATCCAGTGAACTGAATGTGTTAGAGCAAAATTAACCATCACTTAATCCCAGCATTACAAATGCAAGTAAGAAACTACAAGCAGTCTAAGTGAAAATAAAACAGAATGTCAATGGTGTAGTACCCCAGTATCCCAATTTCTTGTAATGTGTGAAGTACACAAAGTAAGTGATATGTTTTCTTGTCATTGGTTGTCTGTGCATTACTGGCGTTAGCATCAATCAATCAATTTATTTATAAGCACATTTAAAAACAACACAGGTTGACCAAAGTGCTGTACATAGTAAAAAAGTAGCTCAAACACACACAAAGAACAGAACAAAACTCAGTGACAATTAAAAGCTAGAGAGTAGAAATGTGTTTTCAAACGGGTTTTAAAAATGTCAAGTGTTTGAGAGATCCTAATTTCAAGATGCAGACTGTTCCAAAGTTTGGTTGCAGCAATCGCAAAGGCCCGATCTCTTCTGTTTTTTGGCCTGCTTCTAGGGACAACTAGAAGCAATTTATCAGCTGACCTGAGAGTTCTACTAGGAGTATTTTTAGTTAACAGATCAGAGAGGTATGATGGAGCTAATCCATTTAGAGATTTAAAAACAAGCAATAAAATCTTAAAATCAATTCTACAACGTACTGGAAGCCAATGTAAATGAGCCAAGACTGGGGAAATATGGTCATGTTTACGTGTGCCGGTCAGGAGTCGAGCTGCAGCATTTTGAACTAGCTGAAGATGAGAGAGCAGAGCCTGGCTGATATCAAAATAAAGACTGTTACAGTAGCCAAGTAGTCAAGCCTGGATGAAATAAATGCATGTAGTCAGCAAATGACAAAATGTTCTTAGTTTTTGCAAGTGCCCTGAGCTAGAAGAAGCTGGCTTTTACAACAGAATTTATTTGTTTCTCAAATGAAAAGCTGCTATCAAAGAACACTCCGAGATTCTTTGCAAGCACTGCAAATAGTACAATCTCAGTTTTTTGGCCGTTTACATTCAAAAAATTTAATGCAAACCATGATTTAATGTCATCGAGGCAGTCTAGCAACACTTTTAGAGAGTCCGTAGAATTATTTTTAAGAGGAAAGTCAATTTGAAAATCATCTGCATAACAGTGAAATGAGATTCCGTGTTTCCTGAAAATAGAGCCTAATGGGAGCAAGTAAAGGGAAAAAGAGTACTGGGTCCAGGATAGATCCTTCAGGAACCCCACATGTAAGGTAGGTGGATGTGGATGAAGAGCCACCAAACCTGACAGAAAAACTTCTATCAATTAAATAGGATCTGAAGCATTCATGTGCAGTTCCTTTAATACCCACACAGCTCTCCAGTCTTTATAAGAGAATCCCACGATCTACTGTATCAAATGCCACACTTATATCTAAAAGCACAAAAATGGCAGAGTTACTAGAGTCAGCAATTAATAAAAGATCATTAAGAACTTTTAAAAGCGCAGTTTCAGTGCTATGTAGCGCTTAATGCATAATGGTGGCAAGAAGACCTCTACACTGCCTTCTTAATGACCACGTCCTCCATGATCAAGACCAGTAAGATCATAATCCATGTACAGGAGGGGTTTCAAGCGTACGACACGTGGGCCAGAGGTAACCCACCAAAGGATCCAATCCAGCCCACAGGATGCTTTTGGAAAAGGTGGTATTTTAAAGGAGGAGGCCAAAACTTTTGAGCCTTTAACTGCATTTTCATTAGTTTTAGTCTACACCAAGACATAACCTGTAATAACCTATAATCTGCCATACACCAAGTAGCTCAACAGATAAACACCAACTGCAAGAAAATTTTACTTTTTTATTGTTAGTATTCATTTTAAAACCATTTACAATAGGATTTGGGGTGTTTTTCAATGATTTTACAAAGTAAATAATGGAACCGTCTTTTATTTCTTTACAGTACAAGCCCTGCTGACCGGTTCATTTGATTTAACACAGTATTATGTTGACAAACAGATATATTGATGAAATTGTACTTTTCTTAAGACACATTTGGCATTAAATTCGTAGGTAACCTTCTTCACACTCAAAGTAACAATTTTGAGGTGTATTTCTTTATACGAGATATTGGGCAACATCTTTACTGGTCCACCCCATTTAAGATGAAACTGAGCTTTATGTGACACATGACGTAAAATGATTTTTGACACCCCTGATCTGAAGGAAATCAAGTGCTATGCAACACATACAGCAAGTCATGACATCACTCGTCAACACAGAGACTCATGTCAACAACCTTGCTAAATGGTTTAAACTGAAAAATGTACATCAGGAGCAAGAATTTGGTTAAACTAAGGAGTGCACATGAAGTTTATGATGGAGAAAATGGAAAAATGCTCATTAAAAAAAAGGGACCAAAGGGTTTGTTCACTGTGCACAAATTTCACCAAAATCTGACTAATGCTCAAAGCGGAGTAGTGGATTGTGAATCGTGGACAGATGGACAGACAACTGACTCCTCCCCATGGCACAAGCTCATTTGTCCTTTGGCTACATTAGCTAAAATAGTAAGGCATAATACGATGAGCAGACATGTACTGAGTGACAAAGTGACACAAGACACTACTTTTACACTAAAAAAGGAAAAGATCATGTTTTAAAACCTCTTAAATGACAGAGGCGGAATACAACGCACACTTCCTCCTCACATGGATGTGAAAGTGCGACTCAGAGAACTCCATCACATGACACATTAATGTCACGCTTGCTTTTTCTGGGCTAATTAATGAGGCCAACCTAAACCAAACGACTGATGGATAATCCTGCAACAGCCTGCTAAGTGCTTAAATAAAACAAAGCCATGCCGCGAGCATGAAAACACAACAGCTGACAGGGCTTCCAAGAAATGCTTGCACACATAAGACTGATAGAAAGATCACAGAGATATTATTCTTACCAGTACATTGGGATGTAGAGCACGTCTCCGGGGCCCACGACAGCCTCATAGCCAACAACATTTTTAAAATTTGGAAACTTCTCATGGTCTGGATTATCAAAATCAACCTATAAATGAATAAATAAATTATATAAGAAACAGGAACATATTACTCATCTGTCTTCATGAAATATAAAACACATTTAAAAGATGCAGATTAAAGTTATTAAGGTAAATTAATAAAACAAATCAAATGTTATCACATTAATGACGTCATTGGAATCAAACTTGGGTGTATTGCTACATACAGCACACAAAAGTTTGGTCAGTACTCATCAAAATGTGACAAATAATTATATTAGAAAGTTAAAGATGAAATATTCTTTTCAATATATTATGCAATGTTGTATTATTTTTGTATTTCACAGTTTTTACAGTATAAAAAAAGGAAAGGAGCAGAGTGCAAATGAAATAGAACCCTAACCCTTAATGCAATGGAGCTTAGGCTTCTTTATAATCATAACTAAGGAAGGCCGGAGGAACCCAATTAAAAAATAAAAATATTACTAAAACCGTATCCAGTTTTCATGTGCCGTCTATGCAACTGCCTGGTGTGACACATTTGAATAATTATGTTACTAAATTCCACTAAATGTGTTGTTAATGTGTTTCAGCTAGCAAGAGATTATTTAAGCCTAGCTGACGCAGTGAGCAGCTTCTCATCTCTAAAACAACTCTGCAGCTAGACACATCCTGTGGTTGTGGCGAAGATAATATTCTGTTACTGAAGGGTCAAGTTACTCTCCTGAATCAAGCACAGAAAATCACTTAACAACTCAACAATCATCTTTGAGTTAGAAATGTGGTTTTAAAAAAAGTTTTATAGAGAAAGCATTATGATCTGGGGTTGCTTCGGTTGGTCAGGTTGAGGTTTAAGAGAATTACAATTTAAAAAGTGAGGTGTATAAACTGAACGACCAGGTTTTTTTAATCAAAGGCTTTTTTTCCTGAGCTTCCAAGATTAATTGGGCTCAAATTGCGAAAGAGTGGTTCAGGGAGCATGAGACATTTTCACACATGGACTGGTCACCCGAGTCGAGACCTTAACCCCACTGAGAATCTCTAGGATGTGCTGGAGAAGACATTAGGCAGTGGGCCAACTCCCCCACTGTCAACACAAGAGCTTGGCAAAACATGAATGCAACTCTGGAAATAAATGCTGTGACATTGCACAAGTTTATAGAAATGATGCCACAATGAACGCATGCTGTCATCAAAGCTAAAATTGGTCCAATGAACTATTAGACTGTGTGCCTTTTTTCTTTTCCAGGCAGCGTATATGGACACAGTGCAGGCATCTGCACGTGAGCATGGCCGAAAGCCTTTTCGCAGGATGGAGCTGGCTTTGGACCGGAGATCAAACATATGAAGCTTTCTGTGTGTTGTGCGTGTCAAACAGGTAAGTATACAATGTTGGGCAAGCGTCACCTTTCAACCCATCATTTCATCTCTAACAGAAAACGCAGAGTGGCACAAACACTTACTGGCACTGTGAAAATAAAAATCTGATAGCCTACAGAAGAGAAGGCTATCACAGGATAAGCAAAGGTAACAGTTTCTTCAAATTTGTAATGCAAATAAGGAGTTCAAACAAATGCCGCAGGGCAAGTCTGGAAGAGCAAGAAAACTGCATGTCGGATTGCCACTGATGACCTGCAAAAGACTGAGAACATTTTAACAGTCTCTGGAGTGGTGGTGCACGGTCTTACTGTGCAGCAACACCTCTGCAAGTTTGCAAAGTAACATCTAAGCAAGCCTGACACAATTTGTAAATCCAAACTGATATTGTTGAAATAAAACTGACACCAATAAGCAGCCTGGCTTAATAACATGAACCCCTCCTGAATGGAGCAGCTCAAACACACTTTGGGTTTGTGCTGCAGCTAGTAGTATGGGAACATTTAACCGGGAAGAACGCATTTATGTAAATGCCAACTCCTGGAAGCACATAATGATAGTTTAAAATCCATAACAGCAAGGAACACAAAATACAGGTTGCACCACAGCCCTCAGGCCCTTAAAGTGAACATCAACAATATATTTATAAACCTCAAAGGAGAAGAGCATACAAGACCCATACAAGAGAATAACACAACTACACATCTTGCAGGATAAATTGGTGAAAACTTGCCAAACAAGAATTGAGACTGAGTAGAAAGAGGAAAGAAAAAAACCTTTTTTTTGGTTTTGGCAAGGGGGTTTTCTTTAGGCGGGGCTTGTTCTTTTCTTTTTTTTTTTTTTTTAAAACTGCAAAAAATTTAAAAATTTAAAAAATGGAAATAACAGTGTCATCTTGCTGAAAGTTTAAAGAAATTTAGCAACTTTCGGGGTGGCTGTAGCTCAGGAGGTAGAGCATGTCAACTGCTGATTGGAAGGCTGGTGCTTCGATCCCTGGCTCCCCCAGTTTGCATGCCAAATATCCTTGGGCAAGATACTAACCCCGACTTGCTCTCCGATGCATCCATCGGAGTATGAATGTGTATGAATGACAGTTAGAAAGTATAGATAACTGTGTATGGGTGAACCCAGCATGTTGTGTAGACTCCAGTAGAGTAGAAAAGCGCTATACAAGAATCCGTCTATTTATCTTATTCTTTAATCATTTGACCAAATTTCTGCACCTACAGTACAACTTACTTGGCTCTGTCTGTCACAGGGGTGATGAACAGGGTATGGATAGAGACATTCAAACTGGTCTGGCGGGAAGAGGATGCATCTCTTATGGCCTTTAATCTGTGCAAAGAAATTCTGCTGCTCGTCATAATGCGCTGGCGTCACATTGCCTGCGGTGACAGATTAACAGAAAATGTAATGCAGGGGTGACAAAAATAACTTTGAACTTATTTTCTTTCTGTTGCCAGAGCCTCACCCTCCATGCCAATGAGCAGGAGGTTGGATGTCAGCTGTCCCCAGCTTCTCTTGGCTTGCTGCTTGTTGATCCAGTTCCAGTTGAAACCAAGAAAGTCAACAACGATCTTCTTTCCTACTGTGTCGTTCAGCGTCTGCTGCAGATATACCCTTGAAATGCACGAGAAAAGGGCACATGCAAAATGTATGAGCCTGAGACAAAAGTGGTATAAAATACACTGGCATTATAGTGTACAATGACAACTTGTTTACCAGCTCCTGTTTCAGCTGACTACATCTCCTTTACACCACAAAGAGAAATTTAGCATTTAAGGAAGTGGCTACCGGTAGTTTAAATCCAAATAGGTAAAAGCCGCTTTGCGTGTCGGCAAGTCAACAGTCAGCTCTCTTTAGTAAATGATCTGTCTGTGTGTGTGCTGCCAGGCCAAGTCAGGTCACAGGAATAAGCTTCTCCCATGGTTCTCTGGTGGAAATGCTTAGTCATGGCCACCGCTTTCCTCTGCTGCATTACGCTGTGAGTGTAAAAACCCTTCCCTGTTAAGTACACCTGCAGCACAAACACATCTTGTCCCTGACATTCAATGAGGCCCTCGTGCACCATATTTCTATACTTAGGGGTGCACTTAAGTGGTCCGCAGGTGCGCATGCGCTGTCAAAATAAAAGACGCGCACCAGATAAGAAGTTGTAACGCGCATTTGCGTACATAAGATTTTGTGGAGGAGGACAGACATTTGTTTAGAACTCTTAAAGATGTCGAAGAAGCAAGCTCCTTTAAGCAATTACTTTGGTGTTCCTCCACCTCCAAAGAAATATCAGGAGTCCGAACCGCAAAAGCAGCACGTATTCTCGGAAAAGTGGTTGCAGGAGGCGAGCTGGTTTCAAACAAATGATGAAAACACAGAGATGTGGTGCAGAATATGCCATGAAAATCCCACTGTAGTGGACAAAAACAGTACCTTTGTACGCAAACGCGCGTAGCAACTTCTTAGCTGGTGCGTGTCTTTTATTTTGACAGCACATGCGCACCTGCGGACCACTTATGTGCACCCCTGTCGATACGCCTATATAACAAACACACCGCTTCGACTAAAATATCATTTCATCCTACCTTTCATCTCCTCCCCTTTCCTCCGTTTCGTGCATTTGATCCACAAATTCGTTAAACTTCATTTCCATTCGCTGAGACTTCGGGACAAAGTTCTCAAAGTTGCACATTTTTTTCTCATCGTAGTAAAGGAATTTGTGGTTTCCTGAAATGTAAACAGAGAAGTCTCCGTTTCCAATGTTGTCCTTGAGGTATGCGATATCCCATTTGAGAGCTGGGTACACGAGGTTTGTGTCTGTCAAAACCACCGGTTCCTGAAAAAAATAATAATAAAAAGCATTTCAACACAACAGAAAAATCTAACTTTATTTCACGCAATTGAAAGGTGACGTAAGTGACTTTGAACATGGCATTGTTTATGGAGACCGGTCAGAATACTTCAGTCTGATAGGAGGAAAAAGTAACTCATCACCACTCATCACACCCAATGCATAAGAGCATCTCTGAATACAAAACACATCAAACCTTGAAGATGGGATACAGCAAGAGAAGACCAGACTGGAACATGGACCATGTCCATTTCGCCTTGTATCAACCATTCACGCTCCTGGTGGTGGTGAAACGATGTGGAGGATATTTTCTTGGCACACTTTGGACCCCCTGAGACTAACTGAGCATTATTTAAACACCACAGCCTACCTGAGCATTGTTGCTGACCATGTCCACCCCTTTATGACCACAGTATCTTCTTCTGATGGCTGCTTCCAGCAGGTTAACATGCTATGTCACAAAGCGCAAATTATCTTAATCAGGTTTCTTGAACATAACAATGTTTACTGCATTCAAATGCCCCCCCTATTCACCAGCTCTTGATGCAATAGATGACCATCACCATTATAGTGAAATGGGAGATTTGTATCATGGGCGGGACTCCAAAAATTCTGCACCAACTGCGTGATAACAGCATGTCAATATGGACAAAAATCTGCCGAATGGTTCCAGCAACTTGCTGAATCTACTACTACTTGTAATTCTTTATGGCAGCGTGGAAAAATCTCACAACTAGACTTCAGTAGATTGTAGATTACAGTCAAGTGATTTCTGTTTTTCTACCCCACCCAATTCAAGTGCCTAATCCTAGCTACAATGGCCATCATAGGTCAAAACAATCCCAAAACAAAAACAGCTGGCCACTGTTCGTCTGCAATTAGTGCAGGCTGTCAGTCCACTGTTTACCTTATCTGTCAATATGCCAATTTTCCACATCTATTTACTCTGAATGACAACGTCAAATTTTGTGAAAGGAGTCCAATATGAGCTGATGGATCAGTGAAGTTCACAAGCATGTTTTGCATTTTTTCATATTTCAAAGGTTTGACTTCAGTTCAGGAGATGAAACGTGAGGTGAGAAGGAAGAGGATGAGTGGAAAAGAGGGAAAACAGAGACATAATGAAAATATACATGTAAAACTGTTAAATAGTCAAACAACTACTGTATTGAAGACAGACAACTTGGTGGCTTTTGCGAATCTGTGCCCTGTCTGTTTTTTTATGGACTAATTCTAGGCTGTTAAAATGCATCAATCTGTTAGAATATGTAATTATACACTAATAAGTGTAAATCTTTGATTACAGTGTTCTTTTTGCCATTAGAAATCCAACCCAGTACTACCAGGCATACCTAATATAGTGGACAGCGAGTGTACAATGGTAGGATAAAAATGTAAAGTTTTACTTTACATTTCTCACCTTTATGACCAGCACATAACTATGCTGCATAAATTAAGAGGAATGCAAAAAGACTGCTGAAGTGTCTTTCAAGGGCGACTTTTCAAGCTTTTAAGTAAAAATAATAATAATAATTAATTAAATTATTAATTACACATAAAAAATAAACATTAACTGTTGCTGCGTGTATCACCATGTTGATTTTGTCGCATTATTGTTCATAAAATCTCCCAAAATATTTGTTTAATAACTGCTCTGAATGCCATTAAAATAAATATATCCCAGCAGCTTGCAGCGGGCTGCACGGGGAGTATATGGCAGCACACTCTGAGCTACGAGGCCTACGTGACTAACTGAACGTACACCGCTGCGCGCGCCCCCGCCGCCCGCGTGTCTCGTACGTCGTGCACTGTACTGGTTCTCGGTTTCACTTTCACCGGACAACTGGGAGAATTTTCGGTGGCAAAGGCTTGAAATGATGCTGTAAATCCTCGACGCCGTCAACTAACTGTAACGTTTTGAAATATAGACACTTTAGTTATGGTCTGTGTTTAAATTAAGATGGCAGGTGGAAGCAAATAAGGGGGGAAAACTGCCATTTACTTCAAATACATCTTTTTTTTTTCTTTAGTTTTTACGCCCGCGCTTTATGTGCGTCGTTTTAAAATAGTTAAATATATCTCATAATGTCCACTCTGCCTTAATACTGCTGGGAAAGAGAGTCTGAGGTCGTCGGGTAGTTTTAATATGGATGTTTTTGTTAACATTAAACAGCTAATAAGGCGACACAATTGACATGTCACATTTGAAGCCGTGTTTGGTAGCTACAGGGGTCACTCCTAGCACAACCTGTGATCTACATTACACATACCCCTCAATGTGTCTTTTTTTCACTCATGTATTAATGGTTGAATCAGAATGGCTGCAGCTGTTAAAAGCAGTCTCTCCAATATGACAACACCAAATAAACAAATTCCAGTGTAAAAGATGCCTATGATAATGAATAAACGGGGGCAATTATACTCATTTGATTATCTCCGAGTGCATTTACCCACCCTAACCTGCCGTTGCTAAATATTCTACACCATCATACATATTACTTTTTTTTAACTGTTGCACAATTTGCACAGTAGAGATCTTGAAGCCCAAATACAGATAACTGCACCAGTTTTGAGGAAGTTGGAAGAGCACAATGTGTAAGAAAAGGTGTGAAAATGTGTAAGAAATTTTCACTTCCCTTGTTCCATATATGGTAATAAAAATGAAGTGTGAAACGTGAGTAAGCTTGACAATATTACTATCCGTGTTCTGTTACTATTCTTAGATAAACATGTCTCAAGAGCTGAAAACTGTCATGGATTAGTGTGCAGAAGAATAATAAAAAGCAGAGCAGGAAGCTGGTTTATTTGGAGAAGTATTAGTAAGATGACACATCTACTTCTGTGCAAACCAATTCTGATTACAAACAGAGAAAGTGTCAGCTCTATTAATGTGCCATTTTGCAATATGCTTTTGTTGGGCACATACACCTACTCCATAAGGTTTTATAACGCATACCATATCTTAAATGAGGAAAGTTAATATGGTTAACAGTACCTTTATAGCTCTATATTCCACATTAAATTCTTGTGAGACAACACTGAAGTGATTAGAGTTTTCTATGGAGAGTGAGTTAGGTGTCACTTCTTTTTAAATGCAATGGCCTGCATAGAAGCCATTCACTTCTTTGCAGGCCATGCACCTATACATGATTGGTCAGTGGCCCATCAGTAAACTCCTGTAACGGGTAACTATTGTCTAGAGAGGTCTCTTGGTAAAAGGCTCCAGCTAAATTAAACAAAGAATAAGAGCAATAAAAGACAGTGGACGTATTATGATATTGTTTGCCTGCTCAAGATAGAAATTATTACAGCCTCAACCTTAAGCAGACGAGGCATGCATTTCACTTCCATTTGTTATGGTTGGAATTAACCTACAGCTGTTTCATCAAGAAGTTGGGGAGAGGTGAAAAACCTATATCAGATAAGACACCACAGAAACGCTGATTCTTATAAACACTTCTGTGTGTAGACCACAATGATGATCACCCCAAACAGCTCTGCAAAGTCACAAAGCACAGATACCGGATCTGCTTATATTAATACGTTTGCGTCCAAATGTGGAAGAAAAAGAAAGCATCTTGCTTTGGGTGTAATGTGCTGTCACGAAAACCCATTTACAGTGCCAAATTCTTACATGGCAAGCTGGAACTCTGAGGATTTGAGCTTGAAAATTAAAGTCTCTGTACTAAATTTAAATGCAACATACAGATTTATGTTGACCACACTGAGCTGATGTAGTGTTGTGATAAAACAAGGCTAAATCTGTCCAGGATGTGTCCTTGGACACTAAACAAAACTAAGATTGTTCGCGATCTTTCACTGTCACCGCGTTGGTAGATAACCTGAAGACTGATATTTCTTAGATGAAGCTGTTACTAAAATGTTTGTGCTGCAGCGGTACTTTTTTGGTTTCTGTAAAAACACGGAGTGCAATTTTAGCGAATCTTAGAAGTTCCCATAAGCTAACTTAGCAATTTTACCTCATTGTTTATTAGCATTTCTGCTCTCGGGTCCGTGTGAGACAGCCTGGGAATGGGCTTGGTGGGGAAAGAATACTTTCGGAGCTGGGATTCATCCCAACCCCGGCTCTGGACGCCAGAGAAAGCGGCACCACCTTCGCTCGTCGCCGGGTCAGCTTCCACCACGGTCGCCGCTGCCATGGTCGTCGACAAGCGCTGATTAGCCGCCTCAGTCTTCCCCTGAATAAAACAACCATACACCGGTTTTCGCTGCTAACGATATCCCGCTAGGCTACACAGTCAGCAACGGCACTCTCTTACAAGCTTTTCCATTCACAATTATTAATCGGTACAAGAAAATGTGCGCAGTCCCACAGAGAGCACACAGCTCCGCTCCGTGCAACTGTTTGTTGACAGCTAGAAAACAAACGAAACCAACTCATATATACTCTGGTCTGATAATGTGATGCTCAGAATATCGGACAGCGACTCCTAGCGTTGTGGCTGACTAAATGCTACTATTGCATCTATTTCCTTTCACCACAAGGGGGAGCAGTCGCACTTACTTTTTTCACAGTTGTGCAGAAAGTCGATAGCAAAGAGGCAACGAGCCCATCAGTGATAGGTTAAAAGTCACACTTATATCATCTAGTGTGCAGATACAAGCTGGAAGACTTTGTTAACATGATGTTGTTACTTCTGAAAAAATATGTCCTAATTAGAGCTCAGCCTACATGTAATATGAATATTTTATTTAAGTGCTTCACTTTATTCCTCTGTTATGCAAAATTTTATTGCATAAATCCGATATTGCATGGTTTTCAATACAGGAAACGCTAGTGTAATTTTAACAGGACTTTTAATTCACAGTGACAATTAGAATAGTTTAATATAATGGACATCAATTATATTGTTCTATACAATGGCAGGGCAAACGATGGGGCTGAGTTGGCATTGACCCCCATAGTTAAAGTACCATAACCCTCAATCAGTGTAAATATACCTCCACCATCCACTTTATTAAATACACCCTATTAGTACTAGATTGGACCCTTTTTTGCCTTCAGAACTCCCTTAATTTTTCATGCCATGCATTCAGTCAGTTGCTATCATGTCCAATATAGAGACAGAGTTGCTGCAGATCTATAGACTGCACATCCATGGTGCACTCCACTCCACTCCACTGCATCCCAGAGGTGCTCTATTGGATTGAGATCTAATGACTATGGAGGCCTTTTGAGTACAATGAACTCCTTGTTGTGTTTAAGAAACCAGTTTGAGATAATTTGAGATTTAAGGCATAGCACATGATCCTGCTGGTAGCAGCCATCATAAGATGGGTACACACTGCTCATAAAGGTGGTGTGGTGTTTGGTCTTTAAATGATGCGCAGAGGAACTACTAAGGAGGAGCCCAAAGTGTACCAAAAAATGTCCCTCACCCCGTTACACCACGGCTGAAAGCCTGAACTGTTCAATGTTGTTTGTGCCAAATGTTGGCCCTATCTTCCAAATATCGTCATGTTCAAAGTCACTTAAATTGTCTTTCTTTCCCGTTTTGATGCATAGTTTGGGTTACGCAGGTTAACTAGACCATATCTACATGTCTAAATGCACTGAGTTGTTGCCAGGTGATTGACTGAGTAGACATTTGCATTAATAAGCAGTTAAAAAGGGTACCTAACAAAATGTCCAGTGAATGTGTAACTATGTAATGTTAAATAATAATATTTGCAAGTTTTAAAAGACAGACTCCCCCCTCACCTACCTCACAGTGGTTTGGTATAGTGGACTGAAACCTGTCTTAATATGACAAGACATCCTGAAAATAATGTAGAGAAACACAAACTCTTACTTTAGGGACAGAATGACATTTATTGGCGTGTTATTTAATGCCACCATAATCATAAAATGATATAAAATAAGATCAATCACACACACATTAAATACATGAAATACAATAAATTAGGACCAGAAAGAAAGGATGGCAGCGGCTTTATTGTGTAGTAGTATGTACATTTGTTTGTGAAACCAAAGATCCCTGGTTCAACTGTGGGAGGAGGCACAGATCCTGCAAAAGCAAATATGTGGCCCTATCTACTGTGGTGACCCCTGTGTGAATAAGGGAGCAACTGACAGTAGCTTCTATATAAAATATGTAAGAAAAAATAACAAAACTGATGAAGTTAGAAGCTCCGTGAAGGGAATTTTACATTAAACAAACGTGTTAAAAAGCTCCACGTGAGGATTGAAACTGTAAACCACAAAGCATGTATTGTACCAAAATACTCTTTTAAATACTTTTGTTGAGTAGTTCCATGTTAAAGTACTTCTACTCCATAAGATGTCAGGGGGAAATATTGCATTTCCCCTTCAGTGCTTTAATTTCTCAGCCATAGTGGCGGGGATACTCTTCAGATTATAATAATAATTAATATTTTTCCTGTAATATTCTGAATTCAAGACTCATACTTTGAATACTAATTTAAATTTGATTATGTGTCCCAGTAACACCACACAGTACCCCAGATGAGCCACCTATATAAGTCAAACTTTCTGCTTCAGATAAAGGAAGATGTAGTATTTTGATAGTGTGGCTTTTATTTCAGGAAAAAAAACAACTGCTTACAACAGTACTGGTCTTAACAAAGCACTGCATATTAAAAGTTTCATGAAAGTTAATCAGTGATGATCTGAAACATGAGTCTTTTTTTTACTCTAATATTTAGGTACTCACACACTATGCCATGCTCAGCAGGCTGATTAGCCGATGCTGCCTTGTTCTGTTATTTAAATAACAACTGCTTTTAATGCTACACATAATTTTAGTTTAATAATGCAAATGCACTTCCTTTATGTGTTTTCTCCTGATTCAGTATTTATGTTCCCATGCTTAGTGTTGTTTGTTGTGGAGATCAGTGAGCTGAGCGGATCCCTCTGATGCTTTATTTTTCCCGTAGTTACTCACAGCCAGGAGATCAAACAGCCTGGTGAGTCACAAGAAACTTGTTGCTCCATCCTGCTGACCAATACCAGCAAATCTACCACTGCTGTCTTTTCCCCAAACAGCTGACAAAGCAATCACTCTGTGTTACAGTGGATCTCTACTGATGAATAGAAGCTGTTCATATCTATAGCACTTCCAAAAGTTGCAACAAATTTTGGCATTCATTGAGTTTTATAAAGCAGAGTAGAGCGCATAGTGGAAGTAAAACTCATCTGTACTCATCTGTGTTGCCTTTCATGCTGACCCTCTCCCCTCTAGGTGTTGCAGGTCTAAAACCCCTAAGCCATAAATCCTATAAGCTGAGGATTCTCTGAGGCATTATAAGTCATTTTCCCAACTTTAATTGTTTGTAAACAAAAATACTCCACATCAAAAGCTCAAAGTCTTAAAATTAGGTTTTAATACCGACGCTACTGTACAGATTAAAAGAAAAAAATTCTTTTATACATTATGCATCTCGCTGTTTTGGTTCAGAAGTTCAGATTAATTATTTAAACTGTGAAAGTAAGCAGCTGCTTTAAAACAGATCCCACAGTTCCCGTGTGGTGGTGGTGTAACCTGCTTCCCTGTCACCTCAGGCTCATGTGTTACCGCAGATTGAAAATGGCAGGGCCGGCCCGAGAGACGGAAGTTAAGACCGCTCGGTCAGAGGTCGTGTCACCTCTGCGTGGTGGGAAACTGTGTGCCCGGCTCAGCGACGAACACTTTGCGCTGTTTCACACATCCGTGATAATATTTGGTTAATTCAGGTCAGCTCTCTTCAGTTAATCAGGGTGTGTGGTAGCGCATTTGAGGAAAATGCTGGTGTTTGCATCAAACTTTATGTCTGTCTGCCAGCTTTTTTCTTTATTGTAGTCCAAATATATTGAAGGTATTTAATAGTAATAAAAAAATTATAGTAAAGCAACGATTTAGAGTTAGAGTGAGCATTAATGTTCTCTGTCCTTGTGAATCTTCTCAGCTGATCTTATAGTCCAGCCCCTGATTTTAGATCACATTCAGTGAACAGGAGAATAATTTCACAGATGTGTCAAACTGCTCAACTTTAACCTCCTAAGACCCGAACTCTTTCATGGCACGCACTTTTAGTTTCTCTTTGCTATTTGGGTTGATTGGGACCTGATGAATGTAAAAACAAAGAATTATGTGATTTCTTTTAACCAATTTTTACTTATTTTTGTTTCTGAGAAAAATGAGATCCACATATGAGGACATTTGCTTTAAATTCTGATATAACAGTATAATGTCCTTGTAAGTGGATATCAGGCCCTTGTAGAGCAAAATTTAGTATTTTGGTCTAGACAACCCAAAATGTGATGTCCACATATGTGGACGCCAGGTCCTAGGAGGTTAAAATGTGTTTTTCATGTTCAGCTTTCCCACACGTTAACCGATTGTTGTGCCAGCATGCTTTCCTCACTCTCTGGGGTGCTTTTTCACACGCGGGTGTAAGTGGGCAGCAAACGACTGCTGATGGCGAATTACTGGATGGCAGCATGGAGAGGAAAGCACAAATGAGAATCACTGCATTGTGCACACTGAGTCTAAAGTGGCTTTGTTAGGTTTAATCCAAAACGCTTGTCCTAATTATATTTCTGCATTACCTTTGAATGCAGTGAATGAACATTTTGTGCCTCTGTTGTACTCCCTAACACAACAAATTTGCAGGACTGCAGAGCCGCGGGGCTTTTGTTCGTGCGAGGGTTTTGCTGCATGCCAGTCGGAGCGATCTGACCAGCCCACGGGGGTCATCAGAGGAGAGAGGAGTTTTGATTATAATCATTATTTGGTAAATAAGATGTCAACAAGGTGTTTCCTTGACACTTCATTGAGTAAAAGGAGGAAGGTGCAGAAATGAATGCCCCCGTCTCAATAGGGACTCTAATCTCCCCTTTCATGTCTCTTCTTGTCTGAAGGGTTTCAGCTTCGGCTGCCATGTGCTAGTTTGCCTGAGCCTGGCACTTCTTACTCGCAGGTGGGGTGAGTATCCTGGCAAGCATGTGTTTATAAAACCCACTTGTTTGGGCACAATACTTGAACTAACTTCTTTTGAGCGAACAGTGTGAATCTGTGCAAAGCCTTTTCCCAAAGTCCTTTAGAAGGCGACAGCCCATTGAGAGTGGAGAAGAAGGGATTACCTTCCTCGACAGTGGTGCATTTCCGAGAGAGCTGATTAGCTCTGCATTCATTGTTAAATCGAGCAAAGGCAGGCCCTAGAGGAGTGAAAGGATCCAAATAGGTGGGCCCAGAAATAAAACAGCCACAGGAAGCCTTGCACAGCTAGCCCAAAGTTTTCCCAACACTTCTTTCCCCCACTCCTAAGGAGGTGCGGCGTGAAAAAGGAGATTAGCATACAAAATTAGAGGCGGGATGATTTTTAAGGGCAACTTGCCTCATGCCCTCCACCCCCATGGTCCTACTCTGTCTGGACAAAGTTAATTAAACTAGTATTAAACAGTGAATAAACTTCCAAGCGCTCAGGAGTTAGGGGGCTCTTTGAGGATTACCATGATGAGGGAGAGAATGGGAGGTATTTGTTGAGGCGAAATTGAGAAAGGCGTGATGGAAGGAAGAGTATGCTGGAAAATTTTCTATTCTTGTTGGTATCTGAACCCCAGTGGGAGGAATGTGAAGCGTAATGCTGTGTTTACTCCAAACGGCAGGGTATTACTGTCACAAAGAGTGTGTTAAAGAAGGATGAGTACTTTCTCCAGGCTGAATGATAGACAGGGTTGACGGATTTATTATTCTTTTATGGCATTTTAATAGTAAACAAACCACAAAGAAAACTAACAATAAAGCAAAACTAGAAAATGCTTCGCAATAAATTAACAATGTACAGTACAAAGTGCTTCATTTTATGTACAATTAAATACATGAAGAGGTGGAGCAAAGGTCACAACAAGCCAAATGATGGGAGAGAAAATTCAAAACTTGACACTGATGGGTGTTTTATATACAAAGATTACTGACAGGTTCATATATATGTATATATATATATATATATATGTATATATGTATATATACACACATAAGTTATTTATACCACAATAGCCACGTCCACCAAGATTGTGTATCTGCATGACAATAAATACATGAAGTTGTGGAGAATTTTGAAAGCAGATAAAAACTCTTCAAATGCCCAGTGACTTTTCAAGATGTTGTAAAAAATATAAAAAATATATCTTAAATACATTTATTCCTAACCATCTATAAATTTGTTAAAACCCTTCTCATCTCCTCTATCTTGTGGCCGTTGTGTTTACTTTTAAAACGCTGTGGACACTGACGACGGTCTGAGATCATCCTTTTATCCAAAACAAACTATCTAAAAAAGAATCTGCCGGGGAGCTGCAAGAAATCATTAAGATCCTCAGTGCTTCTTCCTCAGTCTGAGGTTCTTCCTGCGGCTCCCGGCGCTCTCGCTTCTTCCCCTCTGACCTCCTTTTTTCACACAAAAGTACTTGGTCACTGTCTTTCTGCACTGCTCGCACTTTACCGCACAGCACCAGTGAAATTTACAATTACAGCTCGACACCATCTCAGCCTTACGCTCCTCCACAGCCAGGCCGCACTCCCCACATAGTCTCTTGCAGCTTCGCTTCTCCCATTTGCTCAAGTTCTTGCCTTTCTTTAGGCACTCGCGGCCCTCAGTGCCAGGCAAACCCAGAGTGCGATTTTCCAGGCAGTAATCAGGAGAGTCCTCGAGGTGGACCAGCTCCTTACGGGAGATGGAACTAAAGGTCTCGGCGATGGCCCCCTTGCTGGCCGCGCTGTTCCCCGCTCCTCTCAGAAGGTCTACTTTCAGCGCCCTGTGGTACTTCTCCTTCAAGTAGTTCCCCACCTCTCTGAACTCTGGCAGCTGCAGCCAACAGGTCTGAGTTGTGCAGCTTCCTGACACGCCATGGCACTTGCATGTCCTCTGCATGGTTCCCTTCACAGCCTGGGCACACAGACACAGTTCATGTTATCAAAATAAATAGGAATAGTTCACTGCATTAAAGAAAACTGTGTTTTGCTCTGAGTTTAGTGGAAAAACTGTCAAAACATAAAAACCGTAATTGTGTGTTGGTGCATACATTTCCTGCAAATTCTTGATTGACGTGTGGTCAAATTAACTGATTGTATTCTCAAAGTTTTTCAGATAAAGGCATGAAAGCGGTGAAAAGGAAGAAATGATAGCTTCGAGGTCCATCGCGGAGTTCCTTGTCATCCATTGTGTTTCCTGACTTCAACCAACACAAAACAGCTGTCAATTGAAAAGCGGTGTTTTCTTTCCGTGAAGAGGGGATGAACTTTCTGTTGAAGTGAGGCTGAATCAAAGTTTCACATCGGGTCGCATTGTTCCTCGTAGAATAAATAGAAGTATTTATTTAGCATGTTCATTATCAACATGTTTTCTAGTGTGAGACGACCCAATGGAGAGTCCCATTGAGTGGATAAATGAAAAAGGAGGGTTTTTTCCCTCTCTCTTTCTATCCCCATTTTTTTCTGTTACAATGATGCTCCAGGTGCCATGGGGATCCCAGGGCCCAACAGGGGGGAGCAAAGGCACCGTAAACAAAGACCACTTCAGCTGCACGCCTGTGGTCCCCTCAGACTCCCTCGGGGCCAAACAAAGACCAACATAAATGTGGGATCCTTATTGCAAGAATAAAACTAAACACTTATTTAAAAAAAAAGCAGAATAATACAGAATGCCGTGCAATGTCTGGCTCCCCAGGATCTCTAATTAAGCGTGCACCAGTGATCCTGAGATTCTTGAGTTGAGGTTTTGTCATAAGGAGCATTCAGCACTGGTAAATAGGCCCTTCTGGTACACCGAACACGCTGTTATTATTGGAGACGAGTGGCACCTCACTTATAGCGACGTGAAAGGGATGCTTGGGTGGCACACTCAGCGTAATTCTGCGCAGGGAAAAATGATTCAAAAGGTGCTTTACAATCTGCAATCAGTCGGAGGGCCGTGTAAGATTCTTACATTTTAAGCCATGATGCCACCCAGTTTAAATAATGAGTGGTTAATTAAAGCCATAATATTGCATGATTGTACTGCATCTCATGCAAGATGCTCGTTTTTCATTTGCAAGTTGATCGGGTAAATTAAGAGGGCATACTGTACCTTGCGCCCAGCCTCATTGTTATGGAGATTCATGGCTGCCCGTGCATCCTGTCCAGTCTCTAAAGCATCAACAAACTGTTTGGAGATGGCCTCACCAAAGCCAACATTGTCACTGCAGCCACCCCAGAGCCACCCGTGACCACCTATAAAACAAAAAGAATGAAATTACTGGAATCGCTTTAGGAAGCGAAAACTGTCCTTTCGCATGTCATGTACGCGTTCGTGTATCTCTCTGACCTCGTTGTCCATTTCTGCTGTCATCACAGCCGCAGTTATCAAAGTCTCCAAGGCTGCAGTTCCGGGTTAGGGTGTACATAACGCCAGCTGAGCTGATGGCGTGGACAAACGCCGTCTCTCGATTTGCTATTATCATCGGAGAAACTTGTTAGCTATGTTGTCTAATACATTCACACAATTATACTCCAGTTGCTTCCTTCCACTAAGTTAAATCAACTACAGAGAGAGTTTAACTTTATGTATTTTGTGTTGTTGCTGTTGTTTTTTTAATGAAAATTATTTTGAAAAAAAATCCCGCCTTCGTGCCAGGAGAGTAAAACCCTCACTGACAGTTATTATAAATATTCTCTAAATTAAACTAATTTTATTTTATATTACCTAACAAATCTGTCTCTTTGTGTTTGTGGATCTCTGTATGTAGAGGCTGTGATTCGGTGGGACATGAGTGCCTTTTTGTTTTGGCTCTTGTCTTACTTGCCTCTGTAACAATCCCAACTCTTTGGACTAAGCAAATATTTGTAAGACACAAAGAAGACAAAAAAACTCAAGCATCAGAAATAAACCTAAAAAAAAAAAGCACACAGTTGCATACCACTTTTTAAACATCTTTGAAAATCTGCCATGTTTGCCATGAGCTGGAATCTCAGCCTCGTAGGCGTGTGGGAATATTTGGGATGGCGTTGAGTTGTTCTGTGGGGGGTGGGGGGGTCAGGACTTACCACTGCGCAGGCTGCTGTGCGTGGATAGCTGCAGAGCTCGCTCGGGGCAGTTCCAGCGGTCCCATGCAAACTGGTATTTGCACTCCTCTATGCCACTCTGAGCTCCTGCTGCCACGCTGCTTGAGTAGATCAGGTATGCCTGCGTTATAATACAATGCACATTTTACAGCAACACCAGTGTGATTTCACAACATGGCATCTGCTGTGATTTCAGTACCAGGATGCATCCTACCTAACAAGCATCATATTATACTTTTAGGAAACCTGGTTGAACGAGCTTGATCAAGTACAGGGAAAGTCAGTCGCTGCTATCTGCGGGACTAAAAGATCATGAGGGACTGGATCAAGGATGTGCGACTTTCACATTTGTTAGTGTTAAATCCACTGCTTTCATGTCACTTTCTTATCAGTGCAAAATTTAAGTTACTATGTGGAGTTTAAAATGTGGAAGAAGCTGGTATAAAGTGGTTACTCTTTAACAGACAGATTAAATAGATGATATCTGTCAGTTATGTGACAAAAACACTATGAAGCGGCTCAGTTTGCATGTGGAGGTCTCATCAGCTGCAGTAAAGTCTCAAAGCGCCGTCTGTGTGGGTTTCGCCTGCCGCTCTGCTGCTTGTTCGGACTGTGTGAATGATAATATAACTAATATGTCTCAAGTGGCCTTCAGGGAGATGGAGTACCACCTCTTTCACAGGGGTCTGGATCACTAATGATGACCACCCACTACAGCAGTGCCTGCTCTTGCCTCTTAACACATTCAACCCTCGGCTACACAGAGCCTTTGAATAAGGTCAAGTGTACGGATGGGGGGGTAAAGAAAAAAAATCACAAAAGTCCAAGAATATCACAGATGTAGCACCATTGTTCAACGCAGACAGGTACCAGAATTTGTCCCTAAACTTGAGTTAAGATCTCATAAGAAGTGTCTTTCTCTTTTGTGGAAAAACAGAGAGGAGAGAAGATCAAAAGAAAGTTGGCTTACCTTGGGTCCAGTCATCAAGAAATTATTCACTGACCTGGAAAAGGAGACAGCTTATTCACCCTGGGAAGCTCAGTGTCCTCCACAAATTCCTCTGCTAATTCATCTCTCATTAGTGCACTTTGTAACATGTTAAACTATGACATGTGGGTATTCAAACTTTAGTGAACCACACTACTGAAAGATTTTTTTTAAAAGTGGGAACTGATGTGGGAATGTTATTTTATTGACTTAGTCAAGAAAAAAAAAATTCGCTGGTTGATGGATTTTAGTTTGTAAGAAATCTCAGGGAATTTTCAAAACCTGGCTACCCGCAAATCGACCTCATAAACGGCTTATATTTAGCCAACACTAAGTGCTTATTAACCGCCTTCAAACCCAATAAGCCCTTTATAAAAGGTTCCTTATTGAATAATTCTATTAAATAAATTGGGCTTTTATTTTTCGAATGAATAAATGAATAAAAGTTCCCCGCGTGTGTTCAGTTAATCCTTTTCAGTAGGCTATTTGGAGCGGACGTTATAGCCAAGAAAGTGGCTAATATTTCATAATAAACCAACTTACCAGCAGCAGGTGGACCTCATGTGAGTCAGGAGAATGAAAATGTAATAAAAAACCTCCCAGTGCATGAACATCCTGACAGGTGAGGGGAGGGAAGAGACGGCAACTCGTCCAAAGCTGCAGACGGCGTGAAGATGGAGAGGACACTGAACTACCAGCACATGAAACTTCACAAGGGCTTCCAGGATTCAAGGCGGGGGCTCTGAAATGGAGCTGCTCTCGTCCCAACAAGAGATTATCTGCTTAATTAAAGATTTTCCCCCTTCTTACTCTCTTGGCCAATCAGAAGTAATGCACCAAGGACAGACTGAAATGATCAAAAGGGCACCCTGGGCCTTCAGGGCCGAGCAACGGTAGGTTCCCTGCCTTCCTTTAAAAGCAAAGGCAGATCTGTTTAATCCTTTAGGAAAAGTGTAACAGTGATCCCTTGAATTTCTGCGCAGAGAAAATGTTTATTTAAGCTATCGAAAAGCAGTTGATTTGTCGGGGATTAGCTGGAGGATAGCCGTTTGTCAGTTTGATGGGACAACAGAAAACTTTGGTTCAGTTTAACAAAGGTGTGATTGAATCAGTGTATCTGTCATGGAAACTGTTACTCAACGAAATTTAACAGCACCGAGCGAGTGTGTAGTTTCATACAGGGTCAAATACTCCCGATTAGTGATTGATTTTTAAAATTTATTTATTTATTTTAATTAATATTTGTTTATTTATAGGAGAGTTAAAGCAAAATTCTGCAAATGAATGATGTTTGGGTGGGGGTTCTTGATAGATGCATTCTCAGAATAATGTGCGATGACGTGCTGCAGGGAGCGGCGATGTTTATTTTGAGTGTTTAGCAGGTTTTCCCTTAAAATTTTCTATTTATTTATTTTACTGATCTTAGTAGGAGTACATTTTTGTTTACTTGCCTGCTATATTTTAACAGCCACATAAAAGGTGGATTGTGACAGAGTGAAGGCCAAGCCACTGATCAGAAATAGGACATTTGCATCGCTAATCCAGACGGCCCTTTCCTGACACTGGATAAAGGGTTATTCCCCAATAACCTCGTCTGACCTTTAGGTCCCTTCCTTTATCTGAGGCAGGACTTTTGCGATCTTCTTGTGTGCAAATTGGGATTTGGGGCGGGGGAGGGGGGGTCATCATGAGGGACTTCTGAGGGATGTTTTTGGATTAAGATTTAAAAAGAACTGACAAGCCACCTCAAACATAGAGTTCCTCATTTTTACATGTGGTCTCCCAACTAACCGGGCCCAATCCTGCTTAGTTTCCCAGATCAGATGAGAATGCTTAGGGTGCTATGACCATGAGCTACGACAAGAAGTTTGTTATTCCTTACCTGAAACAAACACTAAAAATTTAGCACTGCAGATTTCAGTAAACATGATGGAAACTGAGTAAATTTTTAGCTTCACACAGCATAAAAGTATAGCGTGAAGAGGCATTGTTTATGTATGTGTCATAATTGTTCAAATGTGTGACAGTGTATGAATATTTAATCCCAGGCACAGAAGAATACTAATCTTGCCACACTTGCAGTGCACAGTTTATTTTTATTTGTAAGTTAGATTAAATTCAGAGGTGTCCCACACAAATGCTGCCTTTGTCTCACAGCAAGTTTATCTGCATTTGGTCACCCTGCCACAGTAAAAAAAGGACAATGTCAAAGTTTAATGGAGCAGAAACGTAATGCTGCAAGTAATGTTCAGACCATATCTGAAAAGCATGTCAAATGTGTGACCTGCAGATGGATATGATCCAAACTCACACAGCTATCAGCAAAGATAAGTGATTTCTATAAGGGTCATTTTCACAGAATCCAATATGTGGCGCTGAAATGTAATACTTAATGTTTTTGAGGGTTTTTAGATTCATTCACACAGTTCATGTTTTTGTCAAGTCATTTTTTATTTATTTTTTATTCTTTAAATAATGTCAAAGTGCATAATCTTCTTGTCTAAAGTAGCATTTTGCTTAGTAACATATACTTAGCTGCTTTTGAGTGATTCTTAGCATAGATAGTATAAAAAAAGACAAACAGCACTGGTTGTGATTCTTGCTTTTATTTCATTTTTTTAAATTTACATTATTTATTTATTTTTATTCGGAATGTGAATAATTTTACAGTGCTCCAAATTTAAAAAAACAAAAAAACAAGAAGTCCGTTCTGGTGTGCAAAGAATTTGGTGCCTGCTTAAGGTTCATACATACAAAAAACAACAATAAAAAAAAGTCTGAAAATCAAGAACAAAGTGCCTTTATCAGTGTAGCAAGTCATTCTTAAAAAGAGACAAACTACTGATTTGGTGATGGTGATGATAACTCATCACAGAAAAGCAGTAGGGAGACAGACACTGGTTGAAGCATGTGAAGGATAATTTGATGCTGAGTACACTCGTTTTTCCATTTAAAAATCTTGAAAAATAAATAAATAAAAAGATAATCACACACATTTGTATGTTAAGCTAAGCACCTGTGATTAACATCCTTCCAAATCCCTTACTTGTGAAAACATTTTCTCATTATATATGTACTTTTACAATTACAATAAGTCTGGCACCTTCTAGGTCATTATGATCTTGACTTCGATGTTGTAAAGTCATTCTTTGATCATCTCTCTCTTCTGTAGTCTTTCAGGCCTGTCGCTGTTGCCGAGCTGGTTAGTACATT